AATAAGGTAAGATTCCATTCTCTATCAGCCAATGAAAAAGTTAACTTGATGAGTCCCATTTTTAAATTTACACTTTGCCGACATTATAAGACTTGAAAAAAGTTCAGCAAAAATAAAATGACCTGCTGACTATGTTAGTCGGAAATGAAATTACCAACATACTCGGAAACAAAACAAGTATACCAATTAAGTTATACTTTAGCTCGGTTATATATCTCAGTTTAAAATCCGACATCTTCAAAATAAGTCGGATATTAAAAAACCCGAGTTAAAAACTAAACTATTGATATACTTATTCCGAGTTCAATATACTTGTACAATTATGAATGAAAATAGATATAAACAAAAACCATTCATTCACAATAAAACATTGTTTTTCAAAACTATTACAACTACTGAATGAAATAAAAACAAAGTGTCCAAACATGCCGGAACACTTTAACCAAACAAAAAAAAAAAGAAGAAAACAAAAAAAGAAAGAAAGAAGATTTAAGTCTATATTCCAGCATCATCGGTTTTTCCGGAAGAACTCGCTTCATTTTCCTTCGGAATTCCGACATTTACTTTAACATCGCTGGTTCCTTCAGTCTTCTTAGCTTTTATTGTGTCTTCAACATCTTCCCCTGTGATCTGCTCATACATAATCCGACTAATGATCTCAAAGACACGATCTTCTTCGGCCTTAGCAGCATTTTCAACTTCTGTAAGAGTCACCGGAATACGTTCGTCAAGGATTGGGTCCTGTTCAACAATCTCGCGCGTTTCGGTGGCCGTCGATTGTTCAACTCCTCGAGATAACTCTGAAACTTTCCTTTCAAGGAATGTTAACACTGCCTTTCGAAGTTGATCGCGAGTCATCTTTTCAATCTCTTCCTCAATATTCACTTCAGCAAGAGTCTTAACGTAGACATTAGCAAGCTCAGTCCTCTTCTCCTTTTCGGTCTCCAACAGCATATTCACAAAAGACCGACGAAGACGAGCATCTCTTTCTCGACTTAAAGAAGGAACATGAGGAGTCCCCGACTCTGCACCTGCTGTAACGAGGAGCCATTCACAAAAATCTTTCTCATCCTCATCAGCATCAATATGAGCAGTCGCAATTGACGGGTTAAAGTCATGTCTCTTGATCTTGTGGAGAAGATAATGACGTAGTTCCTCAATATCATATAAGCCCTCATCAAATCGCTCAACACCCAGCGAAGATTGATGCAGGTGTTCATTTCCAGCTCCCTGTCTTCGTCTTCAGAGTCGGATTCAGCTGTCGTTTTTATTCTGATAGCTTCAGCCTCAAGAATCTTTCTAGCATGGACACCATCATTATACTTCTCCTCAGCAAACTTAATTTTCTCCTCTTGGAGTCTGCTGAGGTCGGAACGGTGAGCATCTCGGCTCTTCACCAACAACTCTTCAACCTCGGACCGACTCTTTCGAGTGAGCTCATGAGCCTCTTGCTCCTTGAAAAGTAATGATTCACACCGAGCAAGTTTTTCGTCTAGCATTTTTACACGTTGCTCGGAGGTAATCACGTGACTTGATAAATTGAGCACATCGGAATCGAGACCAGCTTTCTCAGCTTTAAGAGCCTCGATTTCACCTTGAGCAATCAAAAGTTGCTGATCTTGCTCAACAATCTTCACCTTTAAAGCCGCCTCTTTGTTGGTTGCTTCCTCCTTCAGAGATGCAAGGACTCCATCTCTGAGTTCCAATGTATGTTTCTTCTCATCTACATGCGCCGCGTTAAGTCGGAAATCATCCTCAGCCATAACTAAACTGATTAAAGCCCGGTCGAGGCAAGCCTTCGCATACTTGAACTTATACGCACTCGGCAACGAGGACACACCGATCTCTGCTCTCGGATCCCACACCATCATAGGGACCCGAGCAGCATCAACAACATGACTCGGCAGCTCAACTGTACTTGAGATCTCGGGAATCTCTACTCACTCAAAAGTCGAGAACCATTTCTCGACCGACTCTTGAGGCGGCTTAAAATTCATCGCCCTCTCTTCATCAATGGGCAAGAAGAACCGGTCAACCAGTGGTTCCTTCTTTTTCTTCTCCCGCTGACCGACATCATGCTTCTTCTTAGTTCGTCCTTCAGTAATTGGGACACTTTATGCACGTCTCTTTCTTTGTCGGGTCAACGGGACTTCTTGCTCTTCAACCACTTCCTGGTCACCTTCAGGCTCATCGGAAACAACGTCTATAATTGGCAGGGCCTCTGGTAGAGCAACTTCAATAACTGGATCCACTCTAGACAAACCAGAAACAGCGGTAGCTATAGCGGCAATCGGACCAGTCGCTGCTATGGCTAATGGATTCGGCTGCACAACTTGGGTAGCAGCTTCCGACGTCACACAAACACCAACGTCGGCATTTTTTCGGGTTCATAATCGGATTTTCCAAATAAGCCTTCACAAGTTTCTTGCGGCCCATTTCTGATAAGCGTTGCTCTTTGCTCTTGCCGACTTTAGTCCGCAGATCCAAATTTGGACACTTCTGGCGAAAGACTCTGGCGTCACGAATAGTTTTGAATCCGAGCACTTCGAGAAGCAGATAATAAAGTACAAACAAGAAACTTCGAGTTATAACTTCCTTTTCAAACGACCGACTTCAAATAAGGTCGAAAGTTTATGACTCGAAATTACCTGGTTGAAATAAAGGATCCAAGATCGCAGGACAGAGACCAGCTGCTTTCAACCTCGAATCCTTCAAAACCAATTTAAAGTTGCGTTGTTCCTTCTTCAACTTGAGCAGTTCGGTAATTCTCTCCTTCAACTCCGCACCGAGTTTTGGTTCCTTTCTTCGGGCTGCAAATAGTAAAATTGTTGACCTGTTAGTACAAAAATAAGCAAGTCAGGACAACTCGGTACAAGAGATGTTAAAAAACTTACAATATGCAGAATTAATTTCGATGGGTATTGACATCCCATCGATTAAAGGTTTAAAAAAATTCAGAGTCTGCCAGTCTCCACCAACCCACAACCACTCTTATTGGAATCTGTGGAGAGAATCTGGGATTTCGATAATTAAATCACCGATTTTCAATCCACCTTGTCGCCTCCCTGCGCATGAAAAGCAGATAAGTGGATCAGCCACTTGCCTATCGGCGCATCTCTTGAAGATGAAGAGACTCCTAATCTCCTCCACAGTCGGCATATCCCACTTCTTCTCCCTTAAAAGCACCATTGAACCGATAATTCTATTCCAAGAATTTGGTGCAATCTGGCATAAACCAAGGCCTCAATCCCTTAAGTAATCGGTAATTAATGCTGACAAAGGAAATCTCAATCCTGACTTCAATGAATCGGCAAAAACGCCCACACAACCTGGCGGAGGGCAAGTATTCCTCTCACCCGGATAAGGAGCAAATAATCTTACCGAGGAGGGAACATAAACTTCCCCTTGAAGCATAACAATGTCTGCGTCAGTTAAAATACTTGGCTCGCCCCTATACTCGTCAATCGGTTCAGGCCACCGACGTGCCGGACGTCTCCAATATTCAGCAAGGGACATAGTATTATTTTCTACTGCCTTATCCTCCTCGACTATATCCTTATTCAGGTTAAGCCTCTAAACAAGAACAGGATCCCACCGATAATAATCAAGAGGTAATTCCAAATCCTCATCGGTAAATACCCTATCCTCGGAAACCGTACGACTACTACTGCCCTCAGCATGAGAAGTCATATTTCCGAGATTGATGAAAAGAAAAGAAACAAAGGCAAATTCGAAATCAACGAATACAAAAGTTAAAAATTAGGGCAAAACCTTATCAAGTCTCAAAGCCCTAAATCGGAGAGGATAAAGAAATGATCACGATGAAAGAAGATTGAAAGTGAATTTGAAGCTCTTAAGGATAACGATCGCAAAAGAAATCAAGGAGTTCTGTAACCAAAAGTAAAGAAACCCTTCACAGCCAAAACCGATAGCAATTTATAGGTTTTGATTTGTAACCGTTGGCCAAACCCGGATCAGCGCGTGTAACAGACGTGTTCCTAAACGGTGCAACGTTACAGTAATGATTAATACACGTGGGCTAGTCTCGAAACGCCATGTCGCTCTATAATTCTATCCGTTGGACCCATTAAATGCAGACGCGTCTTTTAAGAATTGCCCCGTCAGTTCAAACGTTACACAACCATCGAAAAAGAATTGGTGACAAAACCAAGTGTTCTCATGTCGGTCACTAGATAAAGAGGAGTCGGGAAACAACCAAGTCAACAACCAAGTCGGAATTACTATACATATTGACGACATCAACAGCCATTTTTGAAAAGCTCAAATACCCACTAATGTCGGGGGCCTCTCTGTTGATGACCAACTTGGTTTCATGAGATTAAAGCTGAAGACTAATTGCCCCATCCTGTCAATATTCCCTCAGAAATAGCCGAACTTAGCTCAAGTCGGTAAAAGTTAAACAAATTCCCGACTTCTAAATAGTTGAAGACAGAACCGACTGTCCATCCAAAACCAAAGACCGACTTTATCGACATCACGATTATTTAAAGATTATCCATTCAATCGACACCCAAAGAGATCAAATATCCAAGCAGGAGGTGCTGTACATTTCCAATTGGACCATCAATCTACAGAATAATCATTGATGTTCCCTCATTACATAATACGCCGCTTAATTGAAGCAGCTCAACATTTAATACGATCTTATCTACCTCGGACAAGAAGACAAAAACAACCGTACTATAAATAGCAGAATTTATGATTGTACGGAGATCTTTTTCCGCACATTGTACACGAACTTAAAATGATCTCGGTCAAGAACAAAAAAACCGACTTCCTGTACTCTTGTGAACTTATCAATAATACACAATTTTATATTTATCTTTATTTAATCACATCTTGTTGTTTTTTACTTTGAGTTGTTAATTTCATACAACAACAATCGGATTGGGCCGGCCATGGCTATCGCGAGTCAACGACGGAGATTTAGGCGGCCGCAGTCTCATTCAGTTTTTCTTTTTTTTTTTTTCATTTGAGAGGAGGTGGTCGTCCGTCGGGCCGGCACCGCCAGAGGGAGGAGGGAATGAAGGTTGTGCAATGGAGAAGAAAGACGTGATGAAAGAATTGTGTTTTGAATCTAGGGACCTTTTTTGAAAATTTGGTAAGTCCTAGCGACTTGATTACAAATTTAGAAGTTTTAATTAATTCAATTTTGTCCTTGGGTCAAATATGAAATTTAGAGAAACTATGTAAAACAGTATTAGTTTCTATATATTTTTTATGCATACATATACATTATGTATTCCTTAACCCAAAATACTATAAGATATTAAATATTTTTATTTTTTTCCCCAGAACGACAAAAATAACTATTAATAAAGAAAAAAGGCGAACACTGTTCGAATACATCGGCATACAACAACTCAAAGAAATTAAAACTGAGAGACACGCCAAAGACGGTCTAGAACCTCAACAAGCCAACAACACTACTACAAACTATCATACTAAAAAAAACACATTCAACAAGCTACAATAATGCACAAGGAAAATAGCCCCTGACCACTGCTACAAAGCCTAGCTAAGGGTTACAATCCAAAGCAGAATAAAACAAGAAACAAAAGCTATCAAAGAGGAACTAGCAGCATTAACCCACAGCTGAGATGAAGTGAAGCCAGTCTGAATGAGCAATCTGCACCACCACATGCTCAGGCATCAATGTCTTTTGAAAAATCCAGAGGTTCCTGGATTTCCAAAGCCACCAAAGCAAATATGTGGATAGTTGAATTCGAGCTTCGGCCACCTCAGAATGATCCAAGGAACACACCTGATACCACCAATCAGCAAAGGAATCTGTTCTGTGCCTAATGCCATCCCACTGGACAGGGCTGAGTTCCCAAATTCTCTGAGCTCTTGAACATTTGAAACTGAGGTGCTCCAGAGTTTCCATATCTTCTCCACAGATTGAACAGGTAATGTCCAGGTTCACTTTCCTTTTAAAGAGTTGCATTGCAACTGGTAGGGTGTTGGTGAGACATTTCCACAGAAAAAACTTCAATTTACCTGCAATTTTCAATTTCCAGTGTCTGTATTTGATGGCCTTATTGAGAGAAGAGGCAGAGCTGCTTTCAGGAAGGTCTGTCTGCAAGTATTTCATAGATACTAGATGCTTGTAAGTACTAGAAACAGAGTAGTGACCCTTCTGCTCTAATCCCCAAAACAGCCTATCACTTCTGTCAGAATTAAGGGATTTAATACCAAGAATAGCATTGCTATCAGAATTGTCAAAAACCTGCTTTACAAGCCATTCATTCCACATATTTTCCACTGGCAGCATCAAGTCCTTAACCCAAATCAAATGACCTCTAGCAATTGGAATTAATGTAGGAGAAGGTTTGTTAATATTGGGAACCCAGTTAGGATCATTGATCCTGGTAGATAGTCCATTTCTCACTTCAATCCTTAACCACTTTGCAAAAAAAGGCATAAATTCCATCCAACTGTTCCACATCCATGATCCTCCCTGAGTCTTACTAGCATGAACAATAGAGGAGTGTGGAAAGTACTTGTCTTTAAGCAGTCTGCTAACCAACAAGTCAGGCTGAGAAGCCACCCTCCACAGTTGTTTGTAGATCATAGCTTTGTTGAAAAGCTGCAGGTCTTGAAATCCAATTCCTCCTTGCTGCTTCTGAAGGGACAAGTAGCTCCATTTCTTCCAGTGAATGCCCTGAGCTTGGTCAGCTCCTGTGTTCCACCAAAACTGGGCACATAAACTAGAGATTTCTGAACACAAAGTAAGTGGCAATTTAAAGCAGGACATTGTAAAAGTTGGAAGGGCTTGAAGCACAGCCTTAATTAACACCTCTTTGCCAGCAGGACTAAGAAATTTTGATTTCCAGCTTGAGAGTTTGTTTTTTACTGCAGATAGAATGAACTCAAAAACCTCAATTTTTGCCTTGCCAATGCCAAGGGGAAGCCCAAGGTACCTAGTAGATCTATGAGGTGTTAATAAAATAATAAATATAAATAATAACATTATATAAATAATAAATTATTTTGATTATTTACATCAATTAACCAATTGATAAAACTGATTATTTTTATTTTTAATTTGAATTTGAAAATAAAACAACCTGCATTTCATAATGCACAATAATACTAAAAAAGATGTTATTTAATGAAATGTCGGTTATATGTTATTACTTTAAAAAATATCGGTCAATGTTGGCTGTATTTAATGAAATAACCGAAATAATCGAACTTATATATGTTATTTATTTTCAACAATTAATAATATAAAATAAAAAAAATATAAATACATAAAATATTGTTATAAAAAGATAGTTGCACTTCGAGTGCACATCAGTGTTAGACGGATTGCAGATTAATGTTTGCCATGTTGCACTATATCGACCGATATAAATTTGTTCGTTCGAATTTTATATTTTGATTCAATTATCTGTTTTTATTTTTAAAAATTCAATTATTTCGATTTGATGTCGGCTTTAATTTTTGAAATAACCAAAACGATCGAAGTATATAAAAAATATTATTTTATTGAATATATATATATATATTGTAGGTATTTTCAAACATAAATAATATAAAATATGAAATATAAATATTAAAACACAAAACTACATTTTTTATAATATAAATAATAAATTATTTTAGTCATATCGGTTAANGCACTTTATAAAACAACACGCTGCACTTTATCACAACACTCTACCATTAACGTCGATAACTCCGGCCAAAATTCCACACGACATAAATCTAATTAAACAATAGATGTACATAATGTCAGCTTTATTGTTTTAAATAACCAATAGGTATAACTGTATAAAAAAATGTTATTTTGTTATATATATATATTTAGGTCTTTACAAAAGATAAAATAATAATAGTAAATAAATAAATAATATTAAGTAAAAATATTAAAATAATAAATATATATTCATAAAATAAATTATAAATTATTTAGATTATTTAGGTTTATTCGGTTAGCCGATCAAATAAACCGATTATTTCGGGTTTTGGTTTGGTTTGGGCAAAGATCATTAAAAATACTACATTTTGAGTGCACACTAATAATAGATGGATTGCACATTAATGACTGTCGTATTGCACTTTATCGACAAAATCAACCGAACTAAATTCATTGAAAATGCATGTGTGCACGATAGTGTTAGATAAATTGCACATTAATGACTATCATGTTGCACAAATAGCGACAAAAAACTGAACAGTTTAAAACTTCGATCTGAAATTTTATATTTCAGCTCGATTATCTATTTTATATCAAAATACCATATGTTTCGGAATCATTTTTTTTTTGTTTTCACTAACCAAACTAACTTAACTATATAAAATATTATATATATATATATATATTTCAAAATATCAATAAATTAAATAACGGTCCAACCGATTCAACCACTGGTCGGACCNCTATTATTATTATCATTTATTATTATTATTATTATTATGATTATTTTAATATTTCAGTGAGATTTTATTGTCATGTCATTTGATGAACCCAAATTTGCTAACTTATTCCAAATTGAAAACTCAGTAAGCATGACAGAAACAAAATTTTCTTAACTTATTCCAAATTGAAAACTAAATAAGTTTGACAGATTAGTGAAATCCGCCACTAACTGATTCCCACCAGTTGAAAATATTGTGTACTTTTGATTTTTTATGGGATATTGTCGTAGTTGATGAAAGAGCTGTAATGCCTCGAACCCCCATAATTATCTCCTTCAGCGATCTTCTTTCCCTTCTCATCATTCCCTGGCTTAGTTTAATTACAAATGTAACATATGAATTCAATTGAAAATATACTTAATCTTCTTAATTTGCCAACAAGCGTCTATAAGATATCTAATTTCCAAATACCATGCCCCAATCTCAAACACACGCAGGTCACAACAATATCACCACCTTCACTCAAACAGTCCGCCGGTGACCGGGAAATGTGTCGATCACCATCAATCGGCCCCAGCCGGACTGAAATCGAACACAAATCTTAAATCAATTTACCGAAATATGAATGTTGACATCCGGGTTCGCCCCGAAGATGAGAGGGACAATAGGTACCTCCCGAAAGCCCAACCGACTCCCAGAGCCGAACCGAAAACCCGGTCAAGTGCAAGTGCCGAGCTGAATTCCAGATCTAGTTAGCCCAGACATCTCCGCGGGCCCCCGTTCCCGAGCCCGGCGTTTGTGCTGTTCAGACACCGGTGTCGACCTAAAGCAGGTGACGAGCTGAAGTAAGGTTCTGGAGGGTCAGAAGAACGAAACGAGATCGGGAGTCGGCCTGAGGTTCCAGGACGGTCCCCCTATAGATGGATGTCGAGCCCGATAATAATATAATAATGTCACTTGAAGAGCAATCAATGGTGATTGGACAGGGCGCCGTAGCCTGCAGGTCTACATCCACTAGCCAAGACATAAAGCCTGCCAGCATTAAATGACCCCCATGTGTGCATTAAATGTCTGCCAGGTAATAATAAGGAAAACCTCAAATCACATTTAATGTCTGTCAGAAGGACGCCGAACTGCTCAGCTGGAGCACTGTACGACAAGACCGGTGAACAGTACCTGAACAGTGCCACATTTAAGGCCACTATAAATAGCAGTCCACCTCATTTATTTCTGGGTTGTTGAATCTCCAACTTTCAGACTCTCTCTCTCTACTTTCTCTCTCTAGACTTGTCATAAATCTCTGTAATAATTTGTAAGCATATCACAAGTGCCGACCTCGTGCGAGAGGCCGACCCAATGATCTGATAATAAAACCATAATTAAACCGTATCTCTTCGTCATTTTCTCATCCCATATCTCCATTACTTGTTTCTTTAACCGTTGACTGGAAACTCCCATCACCAATGAATTTAGGTGTTTATAGTTGGTGCAAAATTTAGGTAATTACAATTCGTGAAGAAGATGAGTGGCGGAGGAAGCAAACTATACGTGATAGCTTTGCGATGGCGAAGTCCGGCGAAGAAAATCGGAGGCGGAAGAGTCGTCGGAAAAAGCTTGTTCGACGGCGGCATTGAGTTCCATGGTGGAGATCGTGAAGTGA